CTGAAAAATTAATTTCAACTTTTTATGAAAATAAATTATAAAAATAATTATTGTGAACAATTAAAACATACCGTTTCTTCTCGGCATCTGTTTTTTTTCTCAGTTTATTTTTCCAGGATAGTTTTTAGGCCCCATCTTTTAAAATAACCTAGCAAAATTAATTTTATGATAATTTACATCGGAATTTTTTTTATTATATTATTTCAATTTAAAATATTTCAAATTATTTTATTTTACAACTTTATTACATTTTTTAATTTATACACCCATGTAGAGTTTAAAGATTATGACAGAATTAAATTGTACAGTAATGTTCCTAACGTAATACACCTAAAGCCTTTGCGTTAGATGTACCATTAAATGTTTAAATTAATTTTTTTATCCACTGTAGAAAGAATCAAAAACGTTTTTGTTGTTGATATGTACAGAAACAAATTGTGTATAATAATCAATCGTCAAACAAATAAATAACTTTGATTACTCACTAGCATATTACAATCTTACATCAACTGGGAATTTGGGTAATATTTGCTTTCCCTCTTCACATTAGACTGTTTCAAAATTTTTCTGGTGACTGGCATTCATAAGCCAGGAAAATGACAGTCAGGCTAATGACAATTTGCTATTTTGCAGCATTTAACTTTAATTTAACGGCCTAAGAAGTTTATTTTCCGCAGAAAACAGCAGGATATCTTGAAATAACTCAAGTAAATCTATGTAGTGCATGTTATTAATGATTTTAAGAAGACAGGAAAATTACAACATAAAAACCTACTCTCCTTGTAAAGTTTTTAAAATAGAGTTTGAACCAGAAAGTTGGTTCCTTATCTCTGAAATAACACATATTCTGATTGGATGGTATTTTAATCAATCTCTTAACCTAAGATATTGATTGCTGGGTCAATACATCTTGGTTATAAATTACGAAAGAAAAAGTTGCGAGGAGAATAACTGATTTTCATGTGACAAACAAATTATTGACAGAAAAAACTACTTTCAACAAATTTTTGGGAAATAATACCCTCTGCATTTATTCTAGAAATGTTTACAACGGTTGAGATAAAAATAATTAGTCATTGAAAAATGTATGGGAAGTTTTGAAGCTAGTTATTATTGGAAATATTGTTTGTGACATACCAGGAAAATGACATTTTGAAATTCAATTAAACTTTTTAAAAACACAACAGTCAATGCTAGTACAAGGTCATTTTAAAATACTAACAGCAATGCTATTTATTGAAGTTAAGAAAAAAGTCCCTTAAGTAGTATAGTATTAGATCTTGGAGCTGTATATTGTCATATTTCGTGAGAATCACCCACATATAATTTTAAGGCTTTATTATTGGAAATACTGTTTGTGACATACCAGGAAAATGATATTTTGAAATTCAATTAAATTTTTTAAATATACACAACAGTCAATGCTAATGAAAGACATTTTAAAGTGCTAGCAGCAATGCTACTTATTAACTTTTTTCTAAAAAGGAGTTCTTTTATTGGTATAATATTAAATCTCCAATCAAAAGACTGTTAATTGTTGTATTATATTCATATATATATATTGCATGCATACATTGTATGTTTATATATTTCTTTGAATAACTGCTTTGACCCGTATGTGCGTTTATTAACAGTTATTATGCTTAAAAATAAAATTTATCACACGAACAATAAGATCCATACGAGATCTTTAGACATTTTATTAAAAAGTCTTCTTCTTAAAATGTTTTAAAACTAAAACTGCAGGAAGTTTCCCAAATTACCAAACATATACAACTGACTTCTTTCGCTTCGTATCTCAACAATGTGGCATTTCACAACATCTGTTGAAACGAATGCTCCCTATCTTGTATCCAACATTTGCATTCAACTGAAGGAAACAACTTCCCGGTCTTCGCCAGGGATTCTAAGAGAAGTGTGTTCTTTCTGAAAAGGATATCTAAACATAAAGATCTCAAATTTATACTTCCGTCATATTTCAATGATTTTTGCTTCACGTTACGGATTTTGTGATACTAAGTAGAGGAAATTCTCGCGGAAGATTCTGAATAGGTGAGTTATGTAAAGTGAAATTCCAGGTCCATGCTGATACTTCTCAGAACTGAGGGTCACAAATCAATGAAATCAGATTTTAGATGACTCGAGGAAGTGATATATTTGTAAAATGTATGCTAATCCAACGAGAGCTCTCTGCTTTTTTCAAATAAATTGTCTTTAATACTTCTCGGTAAATATATATATTAGTATTCTCTGATCCTATTTTAGTTTTTATTATATTAAAATATGTAGTTTTTGCAATACTGAGCTGTGATATTCTTTTTTTATTGAAATGCTATGTGTATTTTATACGAAAAATTATGCGTGGAACTAGCATTTTGTTGTATATTTATAAACATAAAACTAAACGTGCTAATCCCTCACAATTTAAGTTTTTGCTGATATATTTAAAAGCGTATATTATGAGGAAACCGGAATATTTTTTCTATGCATGTTTTTTTTAAATAACTTACTGTTTCATATTTTTGTGATATTCCTTCTTTTCATGAGTGTACTAAAGAAATTCATCAAATTTTCCAAATGCGTTTATTTTTAAAAATCAAAATTATGAAAGTAACGTTCTTGATTTAACTAAATAAATTCAATTTACTTTGTTTTGAGTTAAATTAGTTTTGTGTAAAAAGGATTCGAAATATGTACAGTTAATGTAACATTACCACGATTTGCTTTTAGCATTGCAAAATGTGAAAGTAGAAATCTCATATTTTTAATTAATTTTTTTTTCAAAATTCGGAAAAAAAATAAAAGGAAATATTATAAAAAAGATTACTTTAAAATATTTGGCAGCATTTGATGCTTTTTATACCCCGGAAATAAAAGTAAGTTATGCCTCACTTTCTAATTGAGATTAATACACAGTTATTGCACAACTTAAAAAAGTTTTAATAAAAAAAATATATTTAATGAATTCAAAGAAATTGAGAACCTTTACCACTTTTTTTTTTAAATTGATACCCACCCTCATTATTTTCCTGCCTCTCCAGCGACATCTTTAGAAGGGATCTTTAGTTACGGAAAATTGACAATGCTGCAAAATAAAGCTGCTCATAATGCATTAGATTAAATCATGGACGAGTTAGGGTTTCTATCTCAAAAATAATTAGATGTAGAGAAAAGTATGATAAGACCAAATAGATAAGATTCGAAGGCTTGATGGAGCTTATTTGTTTGATCTAGAAACTTCCAGATTCAATCAAGAGGATTTTTTTAGTGGTATGCAATTTATCATTCTTGAAAAGTTATGGATGCACCGCTTTTTTTATACATGATTTTTCTCTAGGAAAAAGTTAAATCACCTGGTCCAATAGACTGGACCCACATTCTAACTCAATGGAAAATTTAGAAATGCTAGAATTTCAGTTAAAACACAGCAGGTATTTCTATATTATAAGACAAAAGAAAATTATGCATGTAATCACATGTATAAGATGCAGTCGAGGCCATAATCAAAGGCAACTGCCCCTCTGCCCAGGACTACTCATGCCCAGATCAAAATTTCGCTCAAAAATATTGTGTTTATTAATCAGTTTTTTTAAAAAGATAATTACGGAAGATTTCTTCAAATATGTGTATAGAAACTACAATGTTGTTTAAAGAGTCTTCAAAAAGTCTTCAAAATATGAAAATAAGGCTTTTTGTAGGCCGGGATAGCCTGGTCGGTAGGGCACTGGGCCCATGTCCGAGAGTTCATGAGTCCGAACCCCGCGGGCCTAAGTCTCCCCGTGTAGTAAATTAGTGACTGATGCACGTTAAATATGTCGTGTCGCAAAGTCCTCCATGTTCCCATAATAAATCAATACCTCTAGGGGTTCTGAATTGGAGATTGATCGTTCTCTGATTCAGGTCAAAATTATGATCTGTGGATGAATGAATGGATGTATGAATGGGTCCGCCCTATAAACAGGAGAGACGTATGGGTGTGACAGAAGTTGAATTCTGGACCATGGATGGTCCCACTGGAAAACAAGAAACGGTAAATTGATCTTAACGTTATTTATTAGTTACAGTAATATTATCTAGTTACGTTTTAAATTTTATCTTTCAAACATGATTTAATCTAAAAATTATAAGTTAATTATATTCAGACGTGTTTTAATGCATTTACTTTACTTGAGGGTTTTCAAACGTGACCCATTCCCATCTTATATTGTTTCATATGCTGTAAGTGTTTTATTTTTTTTAATTTTTATATGTATTTATTCATTTTTTCTCATAAACTAAGCACATTAAGTAAAAACTAGCTTTCAGTAAAATTTTCATAAGTGAATGAAAATATTAAGGTTAATTTAATTTTATTTATAATGCTATATTCGATTTTTATAATCTTAGAATAGCAAAAAATCAATCCTAGAAGAATTAAAAAATAACAATGCTTAACTTGTTCAGTCTTTAGCATTTAAAAAAATATATTAACTTGATTTGGCTTATTGCTTCAGTTGAATAATTACGTGCTCGCGTAAAATTTAAAATGTGTTAAAATGCTTATGGCTGACTCCCTCTTCTACTAAGACTCACTTTACCATGTGTCATTTTAGAAAGATTTTATCCTAACTAAGCAATTTAATATTTATAATGACTAAATCTAGGACTATTATTCTAGCGCAATTTTTAATTCTCATTTTACTTTTTTTATGTATTTTTTTAAAAATATTTTTCACACTTGAAAAATATGTATGACTTACGAGATTCCTACATAACACAAAGCTGATAAACACTTGACATTATTCGATAACATCTTCACGAATTCACACGCCTTCAAGTTTGTGTACCAGTTGGATCACATCCAAAACAATGCAGTTTATTAAATTTGAGAAAATTGCATGTCTGAAACCTAAATTGAAAATATCTCAAGTGGCACTGTTTATCGTTAATGGTTATGAAAGCTTACGTAATGCATTTTGATATTTGCTGAGATTTGATTTTCTCTTTTTCTTTTTCAAGGTGTTGTCGAGGTTGCGAAAGAGTGAGACGCAGTCACTGGAGACTAGCCAAAATGCCCCTCAGTTTGTTTTTGTTGGAATCGCAATTAGAAAATAGTAGCTGAAGGATGTGGTTGTTACTTGTTACAAGCTATAAAGGTATGTGAAATTATATTTACTTTACAGTTTCTAAACGCTAGTTATTTTTAACATACATTTAATTTCGAAAAGCCATTTAAACATAGAAACAAGAAATAAAGTGATTGATTCATTTTGCTAGAATTTGTTCTTCAAGCAATTGCATTTTAGAAGTAAACAATGGTACCACGGTCAGGAGGCGAGTTTTCAATCTAGCGGCCTTTAACGACCCTCCTTATACATGGAATTTTCCAAAAGAAATAAAATCACGATTTTTGGATTTGTTTTAGTTCTGGTATTAAGTTCTTAAAGAAATAAAAGCTTTATTAACATTCTGACTAACTAGATCCAAGACAAAAATCCTCAAACAGAGAGCGAGGTGCTAAAGGCCACTGAATTGTAAATTAACAACCTAAAGGAGCCCATCTGATAAGGAACTTTGTATTCAAAATAATTTACTATGCAACAAGGAAAAAAAAATTAAAAAAAATTATTTTGCCAAAAAAAAAAAAATAATTTAATATTTGCTTAATGTATAACATCAAAAAATATTTAAAATTCTACAACTTGAAATATTGTTTGTATAGTAAGTAAACTCAGTGCTCAATAATGTTGCCCTCACATCATTAAAAATTTGTTAACATCATGACATGTCTTTTGCTAAAAGTATAACTATTTTTACATTGAATATAAGTTGTATGTTGATTTGAACTAAAGTTTAATTTTACGCATCAAAGATATAAAAGCTTAAATATTTGCGTCAGATGTTTTAGTAAGGCACAAATTTAATTACTACGCTGCTTAACAGAATATTTTTTTTTAATGTTCAATATGGTTCTTTTTAAAAAATGCAGATTTATTTGCTTCAGATTTGAGTATTAATTAAATAGATGACCTTTTGCTACCTTTGTTTGTTCTTTTTAGCATGATAAATAATATTTTTGTCACACATTTTCTTCACGTGCTTTCCTGATTCGCAGTTCCTTAATTTTTGTCACATTTTTTCTATCTTCTTCCTAAACTGTTGAAACAATCAAGAAATCAATATTTTAAAGTAAATATAAATTTACGAACAACTAACCAATCATATTAAATTATTTCAGATGAATTTTGGGGCTACTTCTGGAGCTCGTTAAAATTTTTTATTTTTCATGCCTAATATGAAACAATGTTCTGTGAAAAAATGGTTAATTTAATTGATTTAATCGATTTTTTACCATACAGTGTGTCTCAGTTAAGCGTTTCAGAACTTCTAAGAGGGGTAGGGGCCATCCTGACGACTCGAAATCATATAGCAATGTGGGGTCGGAAATGCTTTCCTGAAGCGGTGACGTACACAGAAGCGCCATAAAGAAAAGAGACCGTAAGTGAAAAATCGCTATAATAATACATTGAAAAAATTATATGGTCCATGGGCCAAAGTAAGTGTTCGAAGTTTCTGCCACCGGCTACAATGTACACCTCACATCTCCGGCGCATGGACATTCGAACATTCTGCAATACTCCAGGCATATCTCGCAGGCAGCTACTGCGATTCTTGCAACCAGCATTATCAACAGGGGTGTCATAAACCAGTGTTTTCATATGACTCCAGAAATCAAGACATGATAGGTCGGGTGACCGAGGAGGCCATATAATTTTTTCAATGTATTATTATAGCGATTTTTCACTTACGGTCTCTTTTCTTTATGGTGCTTCTGTGTACGTCACCGCTTCAGGAAAGCATTTCCGACCCCACATTGCTATATGATTTTGAGTCGTCAGGATGCCCCCTACCCCTCTTAGAAGTTCTGAAACGCTTAACTGAGACACCCTGTATTCAAACAAAACAGTATAAGAACCATAAATAAAATGATATTCAAACTGTAAATTGAGAGAATAACCGCTTACTAACTGCTTTCAACTAATACGGTTAAACATCCAAAATTTTATAGCACCAAATAGACCCACCTACTGTAGCTTGCAGCTGCGTAGATGTTATATAGCCAAAAGGGCTAATTTGTCAGTCTCGTGGCCGACCGAACGGGGATTCGAGTCCCATCGTTATCTAGTTTCAATGTCAATTTAAATGTCTTTTTTTACAGTTTTGAAAACACGCTATTTGTAAATGGTTGAAAATCATACAGTTTTGTATTCATAATTACTATTTGTAAACAGTTTCAAAACCGAAAAGATAAAGAATTCTAATTTCCGAAAATTTTACGTTTAATTGGATGAACAGACTGCTGTTAACTATTTTACCATAATTTTCAAAAGAAAACTCCAACAGTGTAATAATTATAAAAATATTCATATTACTTCTTCTTTTTCATTGATTCGACAGCCAATGTAAGGACCTGACCTATTTTAAAAAGAATTCAGGCTAGTACTATTCCTGCAATTATTCTCCAGTTTTTTCCCCGTTCGTACCAGTAGATATTTACCATCTCAAATATGAGTAGCATGTCTCGAAGTTTGAACTTCTGGGCCACACACTTTTATATATTGTTTATAGTAAACTAGGATACTATTAGGTATATAATTCTCAAGAACTTTCTTGTGGAGTTACTAAACATATCCTCGTGTACGCAAGTCGTAACCCAAATTTCAACTCAAATTGCTATGGATAATTTCAAATCGACAATAGATGTTTCCCCTAGTTCGAACGGCCTTCTCTTTGAAAAAAATATTAGTCTTGTCTTGATAGCAATTAACTTTTTCTCAAAATAATCTTAATTCCGACCTTGTTAAAAATTATTTGTTAATATAATCATGTTTTATTATTTGCAAATCATATGTAACTAAGCACTTTTCAGTATGTATTTTTCTTGAAATAAATATTGTTAAAATTAGTGAAATTGCGTTCACATAAAATTGCTAAAAGATGAGAGAAATATCATGCGTACACATGATATACAACATAAACTCGTAAAAACTTGTAGCTATACATTTTAACAAAGATTTTTATTACAGTTCTCTACGTTTCTTTAAAAAAAAATTTAATAATCCTTATTCAAAAAAGTAGTGTTAATGTCCATAAAAGTGAATTTTTTTTTATTGATTTCTCTTATCAAACTTTCAAACGCTTTTCAACAACCCACCAAGGACTAAAATTTAATACTCTTCAAAATATTCATTACTAAATTTAGTGTGATTCAGTGATAAACTTAAATCATTTTACGACAAAATACTTATGTTTTAAAGCAAACAATTTCGATTAAATTACAAAATAGTCAAATAATCATTTTTGATTTTGAAACAATCTATATTCGAAAGTCATCGTTAACTCAGAAGGATGCACGCTTCCAGAAAGAATGTTAAGTTCCCCAAATTAAATGCATTAAAGTGCTGGTAAAAAAAAATTATAATTTTCATTAGAAATCAAACAATTTAGAGTCTTATACGTGGAATATTCATTGTTTAACTATTTCAAGCTTTGCACTATTCTTTCTGCGATTAAATTTAATAAAACGGGATAATATTTACTTCTCTGATAATTAGTTTATGAATTTATATTATATTTGACATGATGCTTTTAATGCAATCATGATTAAACATAGACATTTTTATTTATATTTTGTTTATTTGAAAATAATATGATCCATGCAAAAAACTTGCACAAATCGTTATTTCATTTCAGTTATTCGTTCTTGTTTTGTTTTTTGCATCCAGTAGTTCTAAATTTCTCGACTGAAATTTGTTTTTAAGTAATATTTTGGTTAATTTTTATGTTTTTAATTTATAATTTGGTGATTCCAGGTAACAACTTAATATTTGAACGTGTAGTGAGCTTGTAGTTATGATTCAATCTTGCTGGCGTTGATCACTAATAAGTTGGATAGCAAGGTCTTTGAATTTTATACACAGTTAGATAGCTTCGTCGGTAATTTATACAAAGTTGGTGGATTTTTGTTTGTTTAGACAGTAAAACAGCTATTTTTTTTATTAATTTTTTTTTCTAGTGACGAAACTTTTATACTTGAGTAGTTCATGAAGATGTAAATAACTTTTTTTCCCAGTGGCAAAACTTTTATGAATGAGTAATTCATGAAGTAAAAAAATCACTTTGATTGGGAACGAAAAATAAGGCAATTAATTGTCAGCTGCAAGAAATTAAATAATTTGTAGATTTAATGGATTGAGTCTCGACGCTATTCTGTTTCATTTACAGTTTAAATCATTTTTCAATAAATCTTTTGTATTGAAAACCATTACTGCAGTAATGATAACATGAAACAATTGATAACATGAAACAATCTGCATTAAAAAATTATCGCAAATCATTTCAAAATGAAATAAATCTTAATCTTTTTCTTTAGCATAGAAGTTTAAAAAAATTTATTTACTCCCAGTTAAAAAAAGACGATTGTTTCCACATAATAATGTAGAATGAACTAAAATTATTTAGTTCCAAAAACTATTTTAAAAAAAAAACTAGAGAAAGTTAACTATTTATGGCGACTTTAAAATCATAGCAAATCATAAAAATTCAGTAGAGAAGTTTAAACAACTTCTATTTTAACATGCTGGAAATGTGCAACCAGCCACCCATTCATTCAAAAGAAAATAAAAAAAAGGTTAATTTTAACTCTTTGTTTCCAGCTTGAGTTATAGAAATAGCCCACACCGCTTTTCTTCGCTTTGTTGGGTAAAACTGGCAGCTACCCAACATTCAAGTTAGCGAGAAAACAGATTGTAAAAGAGAAAAAAGAAAGCATTAAGAAAGGAAGCAAGTAAAGTAAAAAAGAGACAAAAGGAATTAAATAAATGTAAATTTTATTTAGTCTTTGGAAAAGTTTCGCCAAACTTTTAGGAAAACAGGATTCTGTATCTTCCAGGTCAAAAAACTCCATTCACGTGTTTGTGTATCACTTATTTCCTGAAGCGACGGTAGATCGACTTTTATTTTTTGCAGTTTGAGGGACTTTGCAGAAAGCAATTCATAGCTTTCTTTGCAACTAAGTTAGTTACAAGTATTTTATTATTTGATCATTCTAATGTATTGCATATCATTGTAAGTAAATTGTATTATTTAAGGTTTTCTTAAGGAGTTCCTTTTTATTTATGATATGGTGGAATCAGAAGAGCGAGTTTTAAAAAGTTAGAAGAAAGTTACTTGAAAATTCAGAATTGAGAATTATATAAGAAGAATATATTATTCAGGGTGTCCAGAAAGTATGATAATGGTTGAATACTTTTTGAAATACGCACTGCATAAGGGAAATCTAGAAATATTTTCTGGGAATTTTTTTTAAAAATTATGCGTTTAATGATAGAAAACTCTACCTAATAAACCTGGAGTTAAGAATACCCCTAAAGTTAAGAGTAGGGGTACATAAAAATATAAATATACGCCTCATTATTTATTGCTGATTTGAAGAAATAATTTAGAAAATAGAAGAAGAAAATAGAAGAATATCATATATAGCAGAAGAAAGGAAAGAATTTACTTACAAGAAAATCAGAAAATAAATTACTTACAAGTTACAAGTATTTGAATTTTAATGTACAGATGGTGATAATAATCGTGATTGAAAATAGGATGCCAATACATTAAAGCGGATATAACCTGAATATCACTTGACACGTGGAGAAAATAATAAAAATATTAAGTAAATAAAAAGTGGCATGTTGGAAGTGTTTAATTAAAAAAAATCGGAGACACCAAATTCTTTAACCGTGGAGGGGGGGAGGCATCTCTCTCAGTGGATATTTTTGAATTTGATGTCATTAGATAGGTAAAGATTAACCATGCCTTGCTAAAGATTTAACCATGGGAGGCTTTCGTGGTTTTCTTCTTCATGTTACGCAGATGCCGGTTAGTTCTATCAAAAAGTTCTCCACGAAGACTAGTTTCTCCCATTGCTTGATTCAGGAGTCCCCTTGTCTTCTGGATAAGGTTCAAATTTCAAAGACTGTGAACTGAACATCGGCAGTCGTAAACGCAGAAGTGGCTATTTCTCTCTGGTTACATAAACAACAACTCCTCAGACAAATGGTTTCATTTTGTATTAACGCCTCTATACTTAACATAATTTCTTTATAAAACCTGATGCTGAAACATTATTGTTTGTTGGTTAATACATTCTAACAACAACTACTAAAAATATTAAAAAATTGCAATTGCAAACATTTTCAAAATTTTTTTGATTTTTAAGTTTTGTCAAAGATCATTTTGAACTATTTACTAATACAGAAATTAAAAGTGACGAACAACAAGAAGCAGTGATCAATTAAGTTAGATTCAAACTAGCAAGTTTTATTCGCATTTTTGTTTTCAGTTTATTGTTCAAAAGAATTTATCAGAATATTTTCACTCCAATTATGTATTTACTGACACTATTAATAAATAATGATAGTTACGAATGAATAGTTAAAATGCGAAGTTGACTACAAATAAAATCTGCTACTTTTATTGATACACGTTTTGCCACTGGTTAATACAATAAAAAGCTGAAGATGAATACTAGTTACCTAATAATAATGTTTAAAAGTTTGAATAAAAAATTAAATTTGAAAATTCTCTAAAAAAATATGTTTTTTTCTTTGCAAGTTTTATACTGTATTGAAAAATGAATTAAAAGTAATAGTTGATTAAAAAGTAAATACATAATAATTAGAGTTGATATTTAATGACAGGAGTTGAAAATGAATTTTTTTTTCAGTTAATAAGTAAACAAATAATGAACATCTAAGGAAATACGTTGTAATAGTAAACTAATTTTTTTATCGTAAAATAAAACAAACAATAAAGAACAAACATGAATAAAAACAACCAATGGCAATCCTAATTTAAAAGTTTTTAAGGAAAGCTTAAAAATATTTAGAATTTTGCAAAATGATTTCTACATTCCTTTTCCAAATTGCATTTATTTACAATTTTTGGCATCAAATTTTATAGTTAGTTAGACGTGTAAAATCGAAAGAAAAGAGAAAGTTAAATGTTTAAATCAAAAACATTTTAAAATATCGTATTTATCAAATATTGAATAAATAATGAATTGTGAATTCCAGATCCAAAATGTCTTGCAACCTACCCCCAATGGTCTTCTCAAACCCAGACAAGGAAGAAGTGGTTGAACTCGACTTTGGAGTACCCGAAGAGTCTTCATCTTTCCTCCATAAAAAAGTGAAATCCAAAAAGGATGAGTCCGACGAGGCTTCCTATTCACAGTGGAACGCTCTTCCAGATATCTTATTGGAAGATATCTTTTCTAGGCTTTCGATAAAAGAGAGATATAACGCTTCGCAGGTAAGATATACTATTTCTTATCTACTTTATTCGTATGTATTTTTTTTAAGAAAATTGTTAAAATTAATGAAGCTTAGATGATAAAATAATTCAATAGCTCTATGTAGGAGACGAAATGGAAGCAATCATTTTATAAACAGTTTTTTCACTAATATTTCTTTTCTTCTCTAACCAAATGATGATATTGTATTTTATTTAAGATTTCAATCATTTTATTTCCTTCGCCTGAAAACAATTCTATTTAATCTATTCTAGTGTGAAACATATAAAGAATAAGATTTTAAGTAATCGGAAATATATAGGTATTTTATTTAAAATTTTATATTCTAGATTAGTTTTATTCTGTTTATTATTGTGTTTCGTTTCCTAAAAATATTGATTGCAAATGCAAAATTTAAGAGCTAAATTTTCATTGTGAAAGGATTCATACTTTTTTTGTTTAAATTTATTTCCAAAAGAAGATTTATTTTTTAGATTTGCTTATTATTGTTTATTATTACATTTCATTATTATAATTTATTTTCTCGAATTGTTCAGATTCACTGCGGTGATATATTTTATCTTCAAATTATTTTCAGTCACCGGTTCGTAAAGCACTTGCATAAAGTGACTTTATATAAAAGTTTAAGAAAAATATAAGCAAGTAAGTTAGAAGCCGTGTTGACTCAAGGGATATAACGCTCACTACCCAATGAGGTAACCCGGGTTCGAAACTCATCGATGGCTGGTCCATACGAATTCCACACCCGTCTCGCACCGATCACAGTGTTGACATAATTCTCCTCCATGTAATGCATGTTCATATTAGTTCCGTCAAAAAGTAATCCATGGAGGCAAATTACTCCCACTATTGATCAAGGAGTTCCTTTGTCTTCTACATTGAGTTCAATATTACAAGGCTATGGAGTTGGAAATTGGTAGTCGTAAACTCGAAATTGGGTCAGCTGTTCAGTAGCAATTGTAAAAAGTGAGTTAGTGTGGTAGAGGTGGTCCAGAAGATAGAGCTCTTGTCTCTCAATCAGCTGATTTACATCTGAATCTTGGTGTGGCTGTTTAATATGAACTCTGCTCTGTAGTGTCACCAACCACTGAACTGATTTGAAATATCCTCAGTGTTAGACGGATTATGGGTTAAAATCTTATTACCGTCGGGGTGACCATGGGAGGTAATGGGACCATGTAATGCAAATGTGGGTTGGTCCAATCAAAAAGTTCTGAAAGGGTGGCTAGTTTGTCCCAATGCTTGATCGAGGAAATTATTTGCCTTCTGTATTGGATTCAGCATCACAAGGAAACGGAGTTAAATATTGTTAGTCATAAACTCAGAATTGGGCCGGCTGTTCAACGTTGCTCATTGTAAACTGAAAGTGAAGATAAAAAGATTGAAATTGTCATACCTAAAAATAAAATCTAAACCCAAATGCTATCAAGTTAAGTTCAATAAAAAAGAAAAGAATGTAATGTATTATCCACTTCCTAAACTTAAAAAAAAAGAGAGAAAGAAAGAGAAAACTGCAAGGAAGGTCATATTCGAATTAATTAAAGTTTATTTTCTTTATAAGATTTTATTCATTTTTTTTCTTTGATTTATTCTTTCTTTTTAAGATAATTTGATTAAACGTTCTTAAATTGGCGGAATAGTTTTTTAAACATAGATGATGATTCAAGTTGTTGGGACAATTTTCATTATAATAATATTGATGAAGTTTTCAGTTTTTCTTATTTAAAATCTTGGAAAGTATTTGCTATGAAAATGTTTAAACATGTCACACAAAGCTTTCTGCCTACTTTTATTTTATCTAATAAAAATATTTTTTAATTTTATATTTTATTTTCTAAATATTTCATTGCCATTTGTATTTTTAACTAAAACGTTAAGTGCCATAACTCAGTTTTATTACCATACAAACAATTGTATTATTTCTGTTGATATAGATTTGATCATTTAATAACTAAGTATCCATATCCCTTTTTTTGCCATAAATATTTTTTTACAGTCAATGCACTTTTAATAATACGATAACTAAAGCGTTAAGTACCCAAACTCTATTTTATTACCATAAATGAAACTGTCTTTTTCTGTCAATACAATTTTAATATAATTAAACATTTAAAAGTGCTTTACTCAAATGGGAAATTTGAATTATTTATGGAAATGTAAACAAATATATTTATATAAACAAACATCCAAAACGTGCAAATCAATCTTTCCTCTAGTATGTTACATTTTGTGGCTAATTTAGGAGTAGCGGTAAATATAAATAAACACGTTTGATTAATGAAGGAAGATTGCAAATATTCAGAGCAATGTAACGTTCAAGATCGTTAGGAAGCATGTTCCTTTAATAACCCTCGAAATAACCATGTTATCTAAGTAAGGTGAGTTAAAATTAGAAATTAAAAACATTGCATAAATATTGTTCTCCCGTAAACGTGCTTTGAATTTGTTAATGGAAGATTACTCATACAGTCGACGAAAGATTAATTATTATTAACCATCTCTGTACATTGTTTGGAAGTAATTATTATGGAGATGAGAAAATAATTGCATTAAACTTTGCTTCATACACATGGCTGGTTGTACTGACGTTGTTACAAAACGTTAATTATTTGGGTAAAAATGCTATTTGGCATGCTGTTATTAGAAAGCAGCAAATTTGAAGAAAGCTATTGTGATTTTGAATTTTTAATATTATCTGTTGACTCTAGAACCTTTCTTTTTCACATAGAAAACTTGCCTCTATGTATGTTCATTACTTCAAGAATGTTTAAGTGTGCTTTGTAGTGAAGATTTTGTGTAAAATTTCTTAAACTCCAATGTATTAAAGTGTGCTAGTATGATGAAATAAAATGACGAGCTATAAAGGTTAATTAAAAAAACAGACAGGTAAAAATATAGGTTAACACGTTTACATATCAGCATCAAATAATTGTATTTTTTTAATGCACATCAGTTGCACATCTTTATGAATGTAAGCTATAAAACCATATAAGCTGTTAAAAATGCAAGATAAAGTTACGATATAAAATAGTGACACTTTAGATGTACCATCCGTAAAATCCTTTCCACAGTAAAATCCACTTTTACGTTAAAATACTATATTGCAATGCAATTTTCGGAGTAATAATTTTTTAATTAGAATTATTTAAGGATTTCACAGTAATGATTACTGTAAAAAGTACATTTTATCAGATTTTTTGTTCCGTAACATCAGTATAATTACGGTCAATTGATCCGGAATTTTTTACAGTGTAGTATGCTTCTTTTAGTTATTAAATGAGCCATTTATTTTGTTAATTGGCTGATTTAGCCAATTTACTTCAATTTTGATTACGAAAATGCTTTCGCGCTTTTTAGTAATGCATCCTTTGACTTCATTCACAAATACTCTTCATGCAAACAAAGGAGTAAACATATGATTCATAAGATTATTGCAATTACTGTTCAAAGTTTATCGATTAAATCTATAACATTAATGTGCAAAGTTTTGTAACCAATAATTTTGTAATTTCCTAACTGCTTCTGATAAAAAACCTGATTCCAAGCAAAATTACATTGTAAAAAATTCCTGATCAAAATAGGATATGAAGTCACTTTGGATGCATTATCCGTAAAATCTATTTTACCGTAAAATACTAATATATAGCATTTTTGCAGTAATATTTATTCGAGTTATTCAGAGATTTTGTGGGAATTATTACTGTATAAATTATGGTATATCGGTTTATTTCTTCCGTAGCCTGTTCCGGTAAAAATGTATTTTACAATAAGCAGTGAGTTACGGCCCTTTTTATCCGAATTTGATTCAGAATTCTTTACAATGTAAAGAATGAAATCTTTCAGATGGCATCGTAGACCTTCAATACAATAAAAAAAGCCCTCCTTTTTTTAAAAATAAATGTGAATTTCTTGAATTTTCATTTCTATATAATTTCTTAAGTTACAGATTTTTAAAATTACAACTACTCAATTAAAGTTATACTTCTGTTGCAGGTGTGTTGGAACTGGTATCGTTTATTTCATTCCAAAAAAGTTTGGGAAGTATTTATACTAGAAGATAAAACCCTAACGAGACGGAAGTTCAACTATTATTTGGGGTACCAATTTGTTCTTGACCATTACCGAACTCAGTTATGTCTGAATAGAGTGATTCGTGGTGTACGCAAGCTGATCATAAGACCGATGGAGAACTTTTTCAATCTGTACGAATTTATGAGCATTCTGTCTTATTTCTCGGAGAAATTCGAGCCTTTAGACTTTATAAATACTTTAGATTTCACATTTGGTTGTGAGTATGCTGCCGAAAATTCTCAAGGAAGAGACAAAATATTTGGAACAGGTGGAAAACTACTTGAAGCATTAAAACACTTAATGATGGATTTGAGAGGTCTCAAGCACCTTGCTCTTCGAGACTTATATTTGGAAACTGTAAGAAACTTCTTTATTATAAAAAAATAATAATAAATATATTTTTTGTGCAAAAAATTCATTAATTAAAGGGAATTCCTTATTAGCTCATTAATACAAATTTAAAACTTGTAATCTCAAAATTGATATTAAATTATTTACATTTTGGTTTCAAATCTCAAAACTTCTTAAAAATTTTTCATAGTTACAAAAACGATTGAGTAATTAACCAATTATGCTTAGTATGGGCTTTCGCAGCTAACTCACAACAATTATTTACATATCAAACCATTAAATTTTAAACATATGATATATATTTTGTTTTGGGTATACTGTACTTTTGTGTAATATGTATAACATACCGTTGTTTCACGAATAGAAAACAAGAGTATTTTAGCGTTTCTACAATTATTATTCATAGATAAAAGGAAACTCAATTATCTTAAAAAAACTATTCTATACGTTTATTAGGTAAGACAGGTTTCCGTTTAATCAATTAGTTTTGTCAATCAAATGAAATAAAATACCATAAAATCTCAATGATAAAGTCCATTATGTATTTTTATTAATTTAATTATGATTATATTTTAAAGTTTTAACTGCCATATTGATTCACTCCCGAGGGAGCTAAACTGGTCCCTTCGATCTTTCTAGGTATATAGCAATGTCTTTCTAGTGTTAATGTTGTGTTCGAAATCCAATGAGGTGATTCACTAGAAACATGATTATTACTCTTTGGAAGTCAAAGCTCTCGTTATTTGAACTTGTACTATTTATTTTTTCTGCGACCGCTTTGTTGTATGATGTAAATTGCATCAATCTATTACTAAATACATACTATTATTATCTTATACTATTTTTCATGAGAATGGAAAATGTCGAAATAGATTTTAAATACTTGGATGAAAAGAGGTATAATTAGACAAGCTTTTTGCTTTTTACTCTTTACTTTTTTCTCTAATTTCCTATACGAACATAATCCTTAAAAATTAATCTTGAATGAAGATTTTGAATGAGAATCACATTTACAAAATCTTTTTACTTTCAATACCTCTCTTTTCCTTTCATACCTTTCTCTTAAAAAAAAGAAATATCATAGGTATTTTATAATGACTTTTCTGCTGAACGTTTCTATAAAATGATCTTCAGCGGGTTGTAAATTCACCCACTATTCATTTAATTGATCACTCACTCTTTCCAATCCTTGACATCGAAATTTAATGCAATAGGATCCATCGTCACTATATCGATATTTAAACTTCAGGAATGCAAAGCAAGTAGACTTTTTGCAAATCCATTAGATACTCTTGACCATTTCTTTCCTTTATTTATAAAGAAAGCGTGACTCTTCAAAAAAATATTTTCCTGTAGTTCAGAAACATGCCAAATCTGAAGAGAGAAGCATATGAGTCTCAAATATCTCACGCAGAAAGCCAACTTATTATTACATGTTTTAGTTTATAAACCACTTCATAGAAAGTAGTTATATATTATTTGATAAAATATGCTACTAAAAACACTTGCTTGAGGTGTATTAAATAGTAAATCCAAGATAAACCTACATAGAAGTTTTAACTGTATAGCACTTAAAACAAAGATTTGACAGAAAAAAATTACATTTATGTAAATCACAATGAAATGTAAATAAAAAGTTTTTTTTAATGCTATTTCTTCTAAATATTTTTTAACTTATGCCTTAAGCAAAATGCCGTATAAGATTAACATTAAAAAAAAGTAAGAAGTTCTTCAATTCTCAGTTGAAGAGTCAAAAAGGCTGGGGTTACGTAACACTCACCGCCAATTCCTGGAACGTGCTTTAAAATAAAATCTATATATTCTTTTCGGTTGAAATTAATAGATTTTGCTTTACGTGGTATTAGTAAACTTTAAAACTTACTCTGTTTTTTTTTTCATTGTCAGTTGATGCAGCGGTAGCCAATTGTTTAATCTGGTCATTTTAAAATGAGGTAAATTATATTTTACTTACACTTGTGCCATTTAATTGTGATAAAATTTAATGTATAATTTTTACCACATACATATACTACCAATACTACGGATAATTGTATGTCAGTGTCACAATATTGTTATAATTAATGAAACAAAGTAAATCACAAATTATTCAAATCTAAATTGGAGCAATGTTTTCCAAAATATTTTTAGTGAAAACGACTACATTTACATTTCAGAAATATCATTAAATAAAATAACAATGTTTCACGTCAATTTTTAAAAAAAAAATTTTTTCTTCGTGTTCATATGTTTTAATTCAGCGTGACTGTCTCAAGCGTCCGTTTATCTATTAGCAAAACTGTTGTAAAAAACAATAATTTCTCCTTACATCAATGGCAATGGGGAGAAAATAAGAAAGTTTTTTTTTCTTAATGATATTTCGGAAAACTATTTGTGAAGTTTTAATAAATTTTGACAGCATGCTTTTTTTGTCAATAAACGTCTATTCCAATAAATTGAAGATACAGAAGAATTGAAGATAGATAGAAAGAATATACGGAATTCTATTCTACGAAGTATTATAAGACTGCATGAAATACATTTGTATTTACGGTTAAACACATATAACAGTGTGAAAATATTTTATAAATTATCTCAGGTCATAAGTTTTTCCCTGTAGCTGTAGATACGACCAGTTCTTAATTTTTTTTTATCCAGAATTCACTTTTGCGTGGTACTTTGAAAAAATATTGAAGAAAATTTAAGATATAATAAACGAAAGAAACTTTTTTTGGCAAATATTAGACAAATATTTGTCATGTAAAAACTTTTACTTCTCTTAGGAATTAGTGTAAATTTAGAAAGAAAATGACCAACAGTTTTATTTTTACGATTTCAATGACCCATAAATTTCTCAAAAAAAACCAGTGACTCATTATTAAGACAAATATTTGCTTGTTGTGTCGTGTATTTTCATTGTCTATATTCAATCAAAATTTCTTTGGTAATTGTCAAAGGGATCGGACTGTTAACATAAATTTACTTTATTCTTTAAATGCAAAAAACAAATTTTTTAATTAGCTCAGATATTATGTTTTATTACTTAATGTAAATTACGTATTCAAAATATTAGAAATTTCCATATTTTTTTCAGAAACTTAAAAAAAAAGATTGTAATTTATAGTAGTTATAAGTGAATAACACAAGAGAATCTATCTATATTATATAAAACGCTAATACGCATGTATCAATAAAACCGATGATATTTCTTTTCTCGCGTTGGCAACAGCTTTCATTTTTAATTGATAGGATTCGGCATCGTAAGAGCACGTAGTGAGCATCATATGGCTAATCTATATTATATAAAACGCTAATACGTTTTAATTGATAGGCTTGGCGCGCAAGAGCACATAGTGAGCATCATATGTCTAATCGGGTGAATTCTCACAGAATCATCAAAAAAATTCTCATAAAATTATCTCACAAAATTATTAAAGACTTTAAAACAAAACTTACAACAGTTACTTTTCGCAGCAATTGAAATTTAGAATAGTGTGATTAAGAAAAATATGTGAACTGTTTGCAATTTCAAATTAATATTGAAATGCACAGGTTTAGAATTTTCTACAGTAAAAAATTTTCGGAACTTCAGTGCTCAAAAAAGTATATACAAAAGCTAGACGCTAAGAACGTATCCAATGAGCGAGAAAAGCGAGCATCGGATTGCGAAGCAATCCGAAATGAACTGCGAAAGCATTTTCGGGGGTTGGCGAGCGCCAGCGAGCAGGGGGCGAAGCCTCCTAGTATTATATAAAACGCTAATACGTATGTATCAATAAAACCGATGATATTTCTTTTCTCGCGTTGGCAACAGTTTTCATTTTTAATTGATAGGCTTCGGCGCGCAAGAGCACGTAGTGAGCATCATATGGCTAATCTATATTATATAAAACGCTAATACGTTTTAATTGATAGGCTTCGGCGCGCAAGAGCACGTAGTGAGCATCATATGTCTAATCGGGTGAATTCTCACCGAATTATCAAAAAAATTCTCACAAAATTATCTTCATCGAAGCCGATGCTTTACATCCGGCTATCAGTACTATTTCATATTGTTTTACAACACATGGTTTTAGCCCTCTGGTAGGAAAGATTTTAAAACAAAACTGACAACAGTTACTTTTCGCAGCAATTGAAATTTAGAATAGTGTGATTAAGAAAAATATGTGAACTGTTTGCAATTTCAAATTAATATTGAAATGCACAGGTTTAGAATTTTCTACAGTGAAAAGTTTTCAGAACTTCAGTGTTCAAAAAAGTATACAAAAGCTAGACGTTAAGAACGTATCCAATGAGCGAGCAAAGCGAGCATCGGATTGCGAAGAAATCCGAAATAAACTGCGAAAGCAGTTCTGGGGGTTGGCGAGAGGGAGCAAGCAGGGGGCGAAGCCTCCTAGTATAGATTATTGCATTATAGACTAGCGTGCTATGGTCTAATTTAAAATTTAGATGCAAATTCATATTTGAAGAGTCTATGATAAATAATATATTTAAGCATAGTATTTAATGAACCGATTTATTAATCAAAAAATCAATATATTTGTAATATTTATATCGCAAAAATAGACTTTTATGGTATTGGTAATTTATGATATTATAAAGGTTTTCATAGCATTACAAAACATGGAAGAAANCATAGTATTTAATGAACCGATTTATTATTCAAAAAATCAGTATATTTGTAATATTTATATCGCAAAAATAGACTTTTATGGTATTGGTAATTTATGGTATTATAAGGGTTTTCATAACATTACAAAACATGGAAGAAAAGTAAGATATTTAAAATATTTAGAATTCATATCTCTAAATAAAGCAGTTAACTCTTTAAGCAGTTTCATTGTAAATTAATTGAATTCTATTTTTAAATTGTATCTATTATTAATTTATATTTTTAAATCGCATTCTATTTTTGTATTTTTAATTTTTTAAATACAAAATATGGAAGCTAGTATTATTATTTATTATCCTGTTACGGAAATATTTCTATCGTTGTTGTTGTAGACCATTAAGGCAAGGGATACAATTGTTTTTGTTTTCCAGTGGCCCCATTAATGGCTGAGAATTTGCCTTCTGCCACACCCATACGTCACACCCTTGTATAGGGTGGATCTAATCATACATTCATCCATCCTCACATAGTAATTTTTACCTGAACCAGAGAACTATTTCTCTCCAGGAGTATCCCTAAAGGTACAATTTGTTATGGGGGCATAAAAGACTTTGTGACATGACAGATTTAACGTACACCTGTTACCATTTACTACACGCGGAATCTTCGGCCGGTTAAATTCGAACCTCCGTTCTTACGAACGTGAGTCTAGTGTCCTGTCAACAAGGCTATCACGGCCGGTAAAATATTTCTAATGTCAAATGAATGTGTTAAAATTTTTAATTTTATATCTATAAATGTTATAAAGTTCTGAATTACTCCGACTCAATAAAAAGAACAAGGTTTGGGAATTTTTAATATACTGTGCTTCAAAATTGTGCTGAAATGTATTTTAATGTTACATAAATGTAAATATATTTTTTTAAAATAAATTATTTTATATTAATTAAAATTTCGTATCAATAGCAGCTTCTTTTAAATCCTACAAGATATATCAAGCTTTAACTTTTGAATTTATATCTTTACTTTCAATTATTTCCAAATACCGTTAATTTAATCAGCCATTTCAAGTTTGGATTTTAAAATATTACAAAATGATTGTATGCAGATTTTTCAGATTTAATTAAGATCCATAAAATAGTAATAAGGCATAAAATAGTTATATTTGTAATAACTTTATAACTATTCTAAAGAAATTACTTCCTGTTAACTAATTTAACGCAATTTCTTCAAACTTTAGTCATTTCGATTCTTTTAGAATTAATATTTACTTTATTTTATTTTATTTTATTTAATTTCGCTTAAGGCCGGTGTTTCATAAGCTTAATGTTTTAAAATTAAATTTGTGGTATTATAAAGGTTTCCATACATTAGTTTACAATACACGAAAGAAAAATACGTAATGGTTTAAAATTTTCATCACTAAATAAAGCAAACAATTCGTTACATAGTTTATTTGTGAGTAGTTTAAAACCACTATAAGTAATGAGTAGTGCAAAAAATATTTTAATATCATAAATGAATTTTTGAAATACAAACTATTGAAGCTGTAATTACTTCTTATTAAATTGTTACACAAATAAGTTCAATATATAATGAATATTTTTAAGAAAGTATTTCAATTTATAACTAACTACAAAAGTTTAATTTTAAAATTGCTTAAACTCAATAGAAATTAATAAGGTTCGCAAATTTTAATATACTGTGCTTCAGAATTGTGCTTAAATTATTTGCATTGATGCATTTACAATTTTTTACGGTTTAATACATCTACCGTTAGTTATAACTATATTTCATATTAATTACAGCCTCTTTCAAGAAGTCAAAATATTTCTATCTTTAATATTTGACAATAAATTATTACTTCCAGCTATTTCCAAATTCCGTTAATTAAAATAGCATTTCAAGTTTGGATTTTAAAAGAATGCAAATCGGTAGCAAATCGGTAGAAAATTTATGTGAGCAGATTTTTCTTATTTAATTAAGAACTATAAAATAGGAATAGGACAGAAAATCGTTTTATCTATAATAATAAAATTCAAAGTTTGTCTGTCTGTGTGTTTTGTTATTACAAAACAACTATCCGTTCCATCATCCTGAAATTGGGACAGCAGCTGCAAAAGGGTCAAATTTAGCCTCTGATCTTAAAATTCGTCAATTTTCAGTTAATTCTCTCGATTAAGCCGTTATAAAATTAGAGTTTTTCATTGGCTTAGAACTCTCGATATATAAATATGAGATAGCTGTTGAGGATTTTTCTTTAATTTAAATATTTAAAAGATTACATCAGTTATGGTTACTATCTTATAGCTCTCAATGAAAAAAAATTTTTGCAAGTTCTTTAATGTATAATTATTTTTCATGACAGATATCAGCAGATATAATCAGCATCAGCATGATTGTATTGGTGGATTACGTCAACAAATTAGTAATTTGAAACCACGTTTTAATTTTGTTTATAGTTAATCAGCATACTATTATTAATACCAATGGTGCTTAATCAATTTCGGCAATATAAACAAATTGAAATAAAAAAAGGTTGTATACTAAAAAGAAAAAATATTTGAGAAATGGTATAAAATCGTTTAGGTAGAACAAAAAAATCGACATTGATGCCAATGATGCTTAGTTAATTCTGATAATAAGTACTAAATGAAATTAAAAAAAACTATTTACTGTAGGTACTATAAGGCAAAATGAATAAAGACTAATTTTCTTAGGAGAAATGTTAAACATTGCCATATTATTATTGACGCCAATTATGTTAAATCAATTTTGGCAATAGGCACTACTGGTATTATGATAAATGTTGCAACTTTAATAGGTGCCAAATGTATATATAAATATGGGAGCAATGAATTACATTATCAACAATGAATTACATCACTCAACTTTTTTGGACATTAATTTTAATTTTTCTAATTTGTAGAAAGTTCAGCTACATATATTTGCTCACTTTATGCTTTCTTTTTCTAAAATGATTTATTATTTTAAAATTTAGTTCTTTTAAATTGACTAGGAAAAATTTTAAACAACATGATAGCATTGTTTTGCAGTTAATAACATTTTTTAACAGTAAGTCCGGTTATACATTTTAATATAGTGCTGTTTAGATTTTAGCCGTTAATTTAGGTTAACGATATCTTTTTTAACAAATTAATTGTTATCTTAATTTTAGAAAAAATGCCTCAAAATTAATTCTAATAAAAAGTAGAATTCTTTCAAGACACAAACAAGAAAAATATAAAAAGTTGGAAAAAAAATTTCTCTATAAAAAGAAATTAGGAAGCAAAGACATAACTGTATGTCGAATTCGAAAAAAAAAGTTTTAAGAATCTATCAGTTTTTTAAATATTTTATTTAGAACTATATAAATTTCTTAACAATTCTGACATTTACCTTTAGGAAGAGGCCCAATATCTTTTGGATGATGTGGCATATAATTCTTGTGAAACTTTACGAACTTTGAAATTGGTTAATTGTTCTAAAGAACCATACGCTATGCTTCACCCAGCTGTTTTCATCAATCTTCAGAAACTGACTATTTCTCCACAGCATCTTGGAGATGATGTCCTTCTCTTGTTGGCGAGTACGAAATTGAAAGAACTATATTTACTTCAAACAAAATTAACCATTGGTTGTATCTCCGTATCATACAAAGTGTGGAAGGAATTTATAAAGTTATCTCCATTCCTAAGGGTTCATCATGTTCTAGAAAGTGGAACAAAAACACCGGTAAGAATAAAATTCGAACCTAAGTATAATACATAGCATAATCCTCAAATGTTCAATGTTTATTTCTTAGAAGGAAGCACGCATTTGAAATGCGTTCACAAAATATCTCGTCGTCGTGATTTTAAATCTGGAAACGAAAAATTAACATATCTCAAAATACTGTTGAAGAAAATGGACGCAGATCGAAATGCTAATTAACGAAATTGGACAGAACAAAAAATACGCCTTTTTAGTTTTTAACCCGAAAATAACACCCAAACGTGGAATTGTGTGTAAACTTATCCTTGTATATTTAAACACTAGCATACATCAATCGTTTATTCAAAATCGTTAACGGAATGCTTAATAATTATTAAAGGGCCATGCCCTAGACTTTGGGTCGGTGTAGAAAGATGCAACTTGTGAGGCTATGCTTTGCAACCAAAGCTCTAAACGATAAAATGTGTTTTAAAACTTTAAATTCATGCAACTTAAATTAACTTCCGCTATTTTAAAAATTAAAACATCCATTAAGTTTTGTAAAACATTTAATGACTTTAAAAGTCTTCAAAAAAAGACTAATTTAGGGATTCATATAAATGGATAATACCACATTACGAATATATCAGGATTTATTAATTTACTCTTAAAAACCATACTAATTAAAGAAGCGTATAAAATAGAATCAAATGCTATGTCCAATTTCGTAAACACGCATTTCGAATCATGTCCATTCTCGTAAACACACATGTAATATTTTGTAGACGCACGTTACGTCCATGTTTGAAAACTCATCGACGATCTGCATGTTTTGAAATCAATCTGTCGAATGTACAGTGCGAAAAGTACAGAACAAAGAAATTAGAACAAAGTAGTTTTGAAATCCATACTTAGATTTTTCTGACATTTCTCCAAGCTAAATGTCTGAATCATTTTCAAATTTACAATAAAAAAATTCAGTATTTTGAATCTTCCTCACTAACATTCTATTACTCGTATTTTTACAACTACATTTGGCAGCGGACCAATTTTAGTTTGTAAAGAAAACAAAATGATTTGAACGTGGTGGACTTAAAGTGAGCAGTAAATTGCTTGAGCCCATGCGATAAAACGTGATTTCTTTTAGATATTAATGGACATTTTTCGTTAATTTTATTAACTTTGCTAATAAGTCTTTTGCAAGATATTTTAATGCTTATAAATCTTCTTGAATAGCATGAAATGAATTATGTCTAATTTAAAAATTAAATGGCATTAAATATAACACAAATAACACACACTTATAAGGTCCCAATTTAAAAAAGTTTAAAAGTAAGACAACATTACACTACCCTATAATATTATAAAAATGAAGGTACCCCTATAATGTTTCGATTCAAATATTTTACAAAGTAAAATAGAAGAAGAGAATAGATCATACATATTTAAACATTTCAAAAGTTAGATGCATACCTCTATATCGTTATATTTCAAATGTTTTACAAGGAATATAGTCCTAAATTGGTACAATTTAAATATTTTGAAAATATGTCTCATGCGGCGTTTTAAAAATAACTCACATAGTTGCACTGTTTAAATTTAAATGTACGTGAAATAATTTATAAAATTCCAATAACACATCCTTATTTTCCCTTAAATCCAACTGATTTTTTGTGTGCGAGTTTTGTACATTTCAAATTTTGACACATAATTTGTTATGTTCATGTTTTCGTTGGCAACTTTACATTCTATATTTCAAATACCTTTTATTTCTTCTCATTCACGTCTGGCAAGTCTTACAAACGAGTTTAATATTTTTTTGAGCTTGAAACATGTCGACTGTTATTTCCAGTCTGTATATTTTAGAAGTGAATGAAGTTTTTTACTTATTGCTTCAGTTTCATTATATTATTTATTTTATATTAACGCATAGTTTACATCGCTTGAGGTTAGTTAATTTTAAATACACATTAACAAAAGTTGATTTTATGCTTTTTTATGATTATCTGTAATGTTACTCTAGCGTGAAAGTATGTTTATAAAGATTCATGGGCTTAACACATGCCCATTAACTTCTATACATATTTTACTGTGCATGAATACACGTGGCAAATAACCTAGCATGAACATAAAAATAGTAACCTAACTAATGATTCCACCAGCTGTTGAAATATTGCTACAAAAACCATGGCCTTTTTTATTGGCTAATTTTCTTTTCTCCTTGGGCATGATCGTGGCAATGAGCCATGGATGATATCCTCTTTTACTTTTTTCTTATTCTTTTCACGTAATATCTTCATTTTCTATTTATAAATGGACAAGATGAAGAGTTTCTTTATAGACAGATCAAGAGTACTTTCCTATCGACAACAAAGTTTTATACTGGTTAGTTGCCAATTTATTTAATGTTTCATAACGTGTAAGTTCAATGTTTTTGCTCTTAAAAAAATTAATTTTTCAGAAGACTTAGTTTTTATTTCTCATTTTGTTTTATGAAGTTTTGACTGTTTAAATCCATATAACTATCTTATTTTTGTAATACTTTTGTGTAAAAAATATCCACTTTTTAAAATTAATAAGTATAAACTGAATTTCTATTTTTATTCTATTAACAGTAGGGACCAAAGCGTGGACCGTATGTCACAAGTGGCTGAAATTATGCCATTCCAATAAATTAATGAGCTAATAATTAAATAGGAAGTTGAAAAGACCGTAGAAGGACAAATATTTCAAATGTAGCCGCCATGGCTAAGTAGATATAACGTTTGCTTTTTAATGAGGTAACCCTGCTTCAAATCCCAACGGTGACTGGTTGATACGAATTCTGCTCCCAGCTCGCACCGACCACAGTACTTGCGTACAAGATCCTCAGAGGTAGACGGATCATGGTTTAGAATCTCCTTGCCATCGAGTTAACTACGTTAAATGTTCGTGGTTTACCTCTCCGTGTAACGCAAATGAGAGTTTGTTTAATAAAAAAGACCACCACGATGGCTATTTTGTTCTAATGCCTGTTCCAGGAGCTCTTTTTTCCTTCTGGATAGGATACAAAATTACAATACTGCAGAGTTGAACACTGATAGTCGTAAACTCAGAATTGGGTAGGATGTTCAACGCCGATTAAAAAATATTCCAAATTATAACTGATAAAAAAAAATTGTTGGCTGATGTTTATGTAAGATTGGCAAGTTCTAAATAATTTTGCAGTTTTATTGCGGGAAATATTAAAACATTTTATAGACTAGTTTCGTCAAACAACTTAAATTGAAAAATAAGAACACGCTTTCGAGTTCAATATTTGGAGGATACTTTTTATTTTATGACCGCCGTAGAGTGGTCGATCTGATTTTTAGATTTATGACTACTAATGTTCAGGCTAATGACTGTAGCCTTGTAATTTTAAACGCAATCCAGAAAACTCCTGGATCAAGAATAGGAAGAAATTTACCTTCCTAGAGTACTTTTTGATTGAACAAAACCAAATTTGCATTACATGGTGAGGGAAATAAAGCGAAAACCTCCCACGGTTAAGCTGACAACAAGGGGACTCTAACCCATGACCCGTCTACCACTGAGGATATTTCACGTCAGCACTGTGGTCGATATGAGCTAGATGCGGAATTCGTATCAAACAGCAATCGGTGGGATTCGAACCCATTTCACCTCATTTGAAGGCGATCGCTCTATCTCCAGAGCCACCACGGCTCTGGAGGATACTTTGAAAATACTAACCTGAACTATATCACATTATATTGCTAATTTAGAAAAGCTGAAATATAGCGAATTACAATTTTATTCTAATTTTATTTTATTCTACTTTCACATCATTTCAAATTTTAACAAAATACGAACACGTAAGAAATAAAATGAAAAAAAGCAGTCTACCTTATATTACATCTCTCTTACTTAAATATTATTTGGATAGATTATATTTTGTAGCAGATGAACGACCAGTAAGATTTTTTGAACTTATTGCGGCCCTCTGGTGCAAAAATTTGAAAAATATTAATTTATAGAATGAAGAAAATCCATCTTTGGAAAGTTTATTTTAAAGCAGGAATGTCATATTGTTGATGACCTGTCATTGGTGATAAGATCCTCTTCCCTACAATAAATTTCTTAAAAGTTCTTTGATGTATCCCTTATTTTAATTAATGAGCTCGTGCTATTATTTGACCTATATTCAATCTTTTTCTTATGGTAAACTGACTATGCTTGGGATTACTGTGATTTATTTTTAAATATATTATTTTAAAATTTATCTTCAGATTAAGCCTATAAATATATGATGTATAACGCTTCCTAACTCTCCCGGGGCAGGGCTGTGCAGCTATGGTTTTTAGAGCATCCTACTACAAACCCGAAGTCTATTGGTTCAAATCAAGCCGACAGCCAAAGAACAACTCTCATGCATATCTTCATCCTTCAAATTCTGCGATTATTTCTTCCTCAGTTATTTTGATACATTTTTGAACAATTCTAAGAAAACTCTTTTTAACGCTGTAGATTTTCTTTTCCTTAAAATACAGGAACAAAAGTTAGAAAATGTATATGTTAAACACATTTTATTATCTAGTTAAGATAATAAAATTTTAATAAAATAGAGGAAGAAACTACAAATTACTTTTTTTTTCAGATTGCATGGCAAGAGGGTGCTCCAGTGAGATCAATCATTTATGATACGCCAGAAAGCGAGATATTAATATCATGTATATATACAGCTTCCAATATATATTGCAACACGCTGGAAGTGTTTGCATATTTAGGTCTTCCACAATATAACCTACATGATAGCTTTGATGAAAGAGCAGATATATCTCTAGTAAGTTTATTTTAAAGGTTTGTCATTCTTACATCCACATGCAGTTAATATTTTTAAAAGCTTTAATTTTTGGAAAAATTTCTAAAAAGTGATATCGCATAAAAGCTTAAAACTACTTTTCAATTAATTTAGTACAATGCTTTGATAAATTTAATGGGAGATTATTTTATTAAAGAAATTTATTATAAGTATTTAAAAAATAGTTAACAACATAACAAGACGCTTGATTAAACGCGAGGAAACAACCATATTTTAACGAAAATTTTTATTTTTTATTTTGAAATATTAATATATACATTACATTTATTCAAATTTTGTTATGACTATTTATGTATTGGAACAAATATACATATGATGAGTATCGCTTATTTCAATATCAGAATTATTGAGAATTTTTCTATTTAGTAAACTTTTGTTTTTTTATACAGGAAAATATACTTTTGAATGAATAAAATTACTTTTGAATTATAATAATACGAATATTATTCAGGAACAAAATCTAAACGATATGCTTTTGGCTTAAAAGTCTGTATATGTATCTTATATGTTGTAATTAAGGTATGTAATTATATGCAATTAATAAATTTATGTTGATCTAAAACCTTTCAATATACATATTTAAAAAAAGATATGCCTTTTCAATAAATTATAAGAGTAATTATAGAATTCAAAACTTTTATTATAATATTTACATTGTTATAAGAATTCTAAATTAAAACCGATAGGAATTCTTTAAGCGAAGCATTAATATTTCATTCTACCCTCTGTAACATATCAAGCTATATTAAAAAAAAACCTCTTTTTTGTTGATAAAAAACACATTTATTTAAAAACGACGCATAAAATAACAAAATTAAAGTACATGTGATGGGTTAGTAATAATCTTGCAAAGAAATATAGAAAAATCCGTAACTGCTTAGTATAAACCTCAAATTCCAAAAACAAAAACTATATTCTCAAAATTCATCAATTCTCTGATGTTAAAACAAAATATCTCTTGCTTTTATTTTTAATTTATCTCGCTATATGTTTTGTTTCTTTTATTCATACTGTTGTTAGACAGATATATTTTTTAAATTTTTGACTTTATACCTTTTTTTTTATTTAGCAAATAAGAAAGCCATTTTTTTTAAATTACCACAGTGTATCGTAAAGAACTTTCCGGTAAAAAAAAACGTAATTCTGGTAACAAAACAAAAACATACGGTATTTAAACAATTCGTGTGACAACGGTTTATCGTATATTCTTGTTTTCAAATTTATAGTTCCTATTACCTTACATTTCGTAAAAATTCAGAGCTGAAAAATAAATTTAACCAAATACGCCATGATTTAAGGTATCATGATTAAAGTTTACAAATTTTAACACATTATAAAATAATATGATACTGTTAATTTTACCAAAGTTCTTTGTACTTCGGTATTACCGTGATTTTAAGTATTCTTATAGAACCAGAAACATTGTAAATTTTACTTTATTCTGATAGTTTTGACCATACTTTTCTTTTCTTAGTGCAGATACTCTTAAAATCAATAAGAGTTACTCATAAATCCAGTAATAGCATTCTCATTAAGAAAATAAGAGCTGCAAATCATAGATTTGCTCTTAAAATCCAGTAAGAAGGACTTTTTCAGTGGTTTTTTCTATCCTTGATTCTATTAAATATTATCTTGACTTATTGAAACCTTACCAAATAGATTGCTCAAGCCGAAATATCGTTATTTAGGTGCATGGCTTGCACAGTGTGCAAAATTTAGAAAAAAATGCGCCATCCTAAATAATTTTTGATGGAATGAATGGATCTCTCCCCTCTAGGACTCAATCTAAATGGCTCAGGGGGGGGGGTGAGAGGTGACCTCAAATTTTACAGGTTGATAAATGATAATTTGGTCGAGAGAACGTTCCAAAGTTTTGACCCCTTACTGTTAATTTTACTTTTCGCGCATTTCGTTAGGTCTCAAAATCTTTTTTAATGAACTGAAACATTTTTTTGCACAATTATGAAATTTATTTAATCAAAACTAATTTCGTGTAAAAAATAAATTTTAGTAAATATTTATAAATTTTATAATTATTTTTTAATAATGATAGAAAAAAGTTTGAATTGCAAGGTATAAAAATTTTGCATCATTTTAAAGAACATAATTTTACATAACAAAATACAATGTTTGAGCAAAATCGGTTGAATACCGAATTTTAAATATCTGGCCTTTTGAAATCCCATTTCTCAGGCACTTTTCACCTGAATTGCTCACACTTTGTATTTTGCTATGTAAAGTTATATTCTTTAAAATGAGAAAAAAACTTGCATACCTTACAGTTCAAAATTTTTTCGACCATTTTAAAAATAGTAAATAATAATAAATATTTACTAAAAGTTACTTTTTGCATGGAATATCTAATGATAAACAAATTTTATAATTGTGTACAAAAAATTTCCAATTCACTTAGAAAGTTCTCGAGGATATGTAGGAATACGCAAAAGGGTAAAATTAACATCAAGGGATCCAAACATTGGAGCATACTCTTGACCAAACTATTGCGACCATATATCCCAGATTGGGGCCACACTTTGGAGGTCAGAATTCCAAATTCATCGAAGCAAGGATATATTTATTCGGAGAAAGTACGTTTGTGTGTCTGATTCCGTAACTTAAAAAATCATCTGTAGTTATTAATTAGCATATTTGAAGTCAACCTTTTGAGTCATTAAGATTAAGTCCTCGAACATGAAGATCCTGTGATTAGAACTAAAATCATTCAGAGTGGTCAGTTATTTTTTTTAGCACATTAAACCTTGTAGTTTAATTAAGGAATCCGGGACTCATTCTTAAAAATCATATTTTTCTATTTTTTTAATAGTAATTTATACTTGAAAGAAGTTCACCGGAACATATGTTACCACCCACTCTACTGGGATACATTGGCATGGAGCATAAAAAAATATTATATATTTTACATGTTCAATTGTCAAATTCATTTGAATGAGCCAAAAAAGCAAAATTTTGATGATTTTTGTATATTCCCCATATCATGTATTTTTCGAGAAAACATTAAAAGAATATCAGGTATGTATTCTAAAAAAATGTTGGATGAATAAATTCTCTATAAATTCCTGAAACCATAAATTGATTGAAAAAACTATTAATAACCATTATACAGTGTAAAAAATTCCAAATTAAATTATGGCACAAAGTAGCGCACTTTGGGCAAATCATCCGTAAAATTAATTTCACCGTTAAAAATTTTTTTACCGTAAAATATTGTATCGTAATATTAAAATTCTGGTAAAAATTGATTTTACAGTTAGAAGTACCTGTGCCCTTCGCGCCGCTACTTTTTTGCCGTAATGTGATCCAAAATTGTTTACACTGTACATGGTTAAATTTCATTTTTTATTTTGTAACAAATAAATTTGTATAATATGTTTTCCATATAAATTAATAAGCAACAGAGATTCAAGTTTTTTCTTTACAACTTTTTTCATTATTTTCAGCTTAGTAAATACTTCGTACTTTTAAGTCAAATAAAAAAGAACTTGTATTTTTTCTTATTTATGTAGTTACAATTTCCGTCTAAAGTTTTTCTACCTTCTTTGAATCAGACTCGAAAAAGTCACCAGAAAAAAAGAAATGTTTGTTTTGATGGAGAATAGTTTAGAAAAAAGAATACTCTTTTTTTCGCTTTAGTTGCTCTTTTGATGGAAAAAGTAGAAGCAAGGTCGATTGTTACGTTTTTTTATACCACTATCAGAATGTTTTCTAAATTCAGCGAAACTAGCTGCCAAAAATACCTACAAACTGACCACTGCTGTTCGTGAAAAAAAGCTCCAGGAGTTAAGAATCTAAATATAGGTCTAGAGGTGTAATTTATTTTTCTCTTTTTCGTCAGCCTTTCTTTAAGTTTGAATGTATGCCAAAACAATTCCTTTAAAACATATTTTTTCAATTTATATATCAACTGCATTTTTTTTTACATTTATCGGTAATTTAAGAACTGAATATCTTTCCAAGAATTTTTTGTCTGAACTTATTAGATATTTTTTTTATTAATAAAGAGTGAATGTTGCAAAAAAGTATACACATGTAATACTCAATGAAAGCATGATTGAATTTTTTTTTATTTACTTGTGATATTATTTATTTAGAATGCAAAAAAATTATGTATGAGAAGGGGCTCATATACCTTTGAGAAATTTTTTCACTGTGTATCACTGGTTCTAAGTTTGATTTTGGAAGACAATATTTTAAAATATCCAGCATTAAAACTGAAAAATAATTATTAACCTGATGCAATTAAAAACTGGAGTTCCCATTGTTGACAGCATTACCATACAGAGAAAACGAAATCGCGCCAAGGTATTTCTGAGTCCATAATGTATGTGAACTTATCTTATTATTACATTTTCATTTATTATTACATTTACATTTTACATTATTATTACAAATCAAATGAAACATTTAGACAGTATCAATCCACTCTTAGGGGAATGTAACATTCATGTTAGCATTAGTTACGTAGTTCATGTTAGCATATTAGTTTTAAATAAAAGTTAATTCTTAAAATAACCATAAATGTTTCCAACAGTTTCATAGTAGTTAAATGAGTTTAATTCCAACAATTCTACATCTTAATAACTAAAAAGCAGATATAATTTTTGCGTAAGAGATTTCATCTTGTGACCTATAACAAACAAAAGTCCGAACTTCTACTATTAATTTTGAAGAAAATTTCTTGTTTTAAGAGGTTTCAACATGAATTGAAAATTATCATTAACAAACTTTATTGACATATAAATCTGTTTGTTTTTCATTTATATAAAATTCATTACATTCATAAATATTATTTATGTTATTAAAATTATTTCATACTGACGGTTGACGAAGATAAAATTTTAGAATTATTCATTTTGCAGATACTTCTGTCCCGCTGTTGTTTATATTTAGATACACTAGTAATAAGAGAACACATATCTTCATCTACATTACTGCTGTTGGCAAGTCAATCTAGAAACTTAAGAAGATTAATAGTTCGAAGAAGTGCTCTGATAATGAAATGTGATTGGCCACATAACCCTGAATGGACCGAAGAATTCTATTTTTGGTTACGCATGACATCTATATCATATGACAAGCTCATTTCTGAAGTCAGTAAATGTTTAGAAATAAAATGGCACCCATTGTCGGATGAAGAATTTCAAAACTTTAAATTATGAGCTATTTTAAATGTATATGTGTCAAATATCATGAGCATTATAAAATTCTTATGCTACAAACAAACATACATAAAATTATTAAGAATCCTTTACAGATTATTGAAATGTTATTAACGTAACTTTCGAAATTATTCCACTAAGTCATAAAAATTTCCCTTTTCATTAAATAAGTTATTTGGGGCTTTTGAAATAAATTTTTTATATATCTTTTGTTTAAACTGCAGAAAATAAATGAATGCAAACAGTTTGAAAATTCTGAAGTCTTAATTGTTAAAAAATTAAGCAATATTTTATAAGAAAAACCAAGATATCAGTGTAAGGTTAATTTTCTTAGCCTTTAAAACAACCTTTATCACAAAGCCCTTCAAGGTTTATAAATGATTAGCAGATAATACATGCAAGCTTGAAACAGTGTTAAATTTAATTATGCTATTTTATGCGCTATGGGGTTCCCATTAAGCTTGTATAAACAACCCTTATATATATATTGAAGTTGAATCTGTCCTAACAAAACAAGGCTAGAAAAATTGTCTGAAATCGAGGATGAATCATCATTTGCAAAACAAAAGTAGAAAGCTTTTTTAAACCAAGGATAAATTATATTCACAAAATTTATTTCAGATTTTATTACCATCCCTGAAATTAAATTTTTTATTTGAGCAGGCTGTTATATAGATAAAGATATAATGAAATAAAGGTAAAAACAAGGCTTTTAGTTCAATCTAAAGAGATGAGATTTTTTTTTAAATTTTTTCAATGCCTCAATTTAATTTTTAATAAAACAAGCTTGGCATGGCATACTAGTATTTCTACTAAGTTTTAAAAAAATAACTAATTATTCAGCCGTTCTGTTCCAACGAAATTAAAATGTAACTACAACGTTTTTAGTAAGGTTGATTGTTATATGGAAAGATGCGATTGTATTTTTATATCTGAACTTTATAATGTGTGAATTTGAAATACAAAATTAGCATTTTTTAATTATTTTCCTTGAATATAAAAGTTTAATAAATACTTTTTTACGTGTACATTGTATGAGCAAGTCATTTGGAAAGCTCTTTCTTAAAAAAATCCCTTCTAAGAAAATAAAAAGTCTCTGATGAAGTATGAAATTAATTTTAACATTAATTTAAACTAGAATTACTATAATTTAGCATTAATTTTACATAAGTATTCTGTATAGAATAACATATTGTATTTAGATATCATGTCATTATATATTACAATATTGTTACAATATTCTTTAATTATTAAAATGTGACTTAATGCTAATCCTGTTACTGTCATAATATATTTAGTTAATATATGGAACAAAGTTGAGGCAAAAGAGTTGATGATATCTGTAGCTGTAATGAATTTATACATGGAAGGTTTGGTTTACCTTGTGAGATGTATTGTTACCTTCTATCAATTACTATTAATTTTAACATAGATATTCTGTGTAAAATGACTTAATATGTATAGTTAATACACAATATTCTTCAATTACTGAAATGTAGCCTAAAGCTATCCTACCATGTTACTGTTTTAATTTTCTTTCAAATATATAGATAAGAGAAACGTTGTGATAAAAGTGTTGATGATATTTGTAGCTGTAAAGAATTTATACATAGAAGGTTTACCTTGTGAGATGTGTTCTTTACCTTATACCCCGCATGCACACCGATACAACCATTCCTCATTTTCCCTTATTATTCCATGTTATTTTTAAGGATATTACGATTTTGTAATAAAGTGAAACGATAATAATTGTTTTGTATAGATTTGTTAATAAATTTAATTTTTGAAAATTATTTTGATTTTATTTAATTCTTTATTTTTACTTATATAAATTCATTTAAAAAAAGGTGTAGATATGAAATTTATTTCCGAAAATTAAAAATTAAGAAAGACTTCCTTAAAGGACATATAAATGTAACTTGCTTTAACACTTAAAAATGGCCTAGAGTAAATTTAATTTATTCATATCAGTTCTTTAAACAAATCTAACAGTTTCAACTATTATTACTTAGAGTAATTAAAATATTTTGACCTATTAATTAGTTCTCCGTGTATATGGCACTATTCTACTTTAAATTTCTTTTTATATGATTATATTCCGTTATAAAAATATTTTTCTGTTATGAAGCAATATAATTAAAACATATCCGTCAATATTCGGTTATATTGAAATATTAACTATTAGCCAAATACCCGTACTTTGTTAGAAGTAAAAAAATAAATAAATCAGTACTGAAATAATACACAGAATTTAAAGTTATATACCAGCAATATTGATAAAACTGAAATACTCTAATTGTACTAATATAACTATTATTACAAACTTATATTAATACTTTTTCTTAGTTCCTTAGTTATTATTATTAGAAGTCCAGGTGAATTTACTCTATTAAAATAATATTGTTGCTTGAGGGCAATTCATGATGGTTAAAATTAACAACAATCAAGCAATTTTATCGGATATTTATCCTTTAAAGTGACCGAAAAATCGTAGTATTCCCTCAGTATCAAAATTGAAACTGTATAGTATTAATGCAGTTTTGATCGGTACCAAACATACTTATATAATACTTAGTTTGTAATAATCACATATTAAAACTGAGCCAATTACCATACTATACACCTATTACCAAAACTAGTTAAATATCATTGGCGACAATAATAACAATGGTGATTTCCTTTTACGTTTCTCCTAAAAGTAGCAAATTTTTACCATTAAATTTGCTTTTCAGCTCATAGATTTTTTTCCATTCTAATTATCTTTTAACACACATAATTTTTCATAATTGATGTCAATAATAATATGGCTAAATTTAACGGCTCTCCTTAACAAAATACTAACATTTTCCAATTTATTTTGCTTTTTAGTGCATAATTTATTTATTGAAATTATACTTCTTATGCGACTTCCAACAAGGTTGCGTTAAACGTTTAACGCTACATTTTTATTGGCCGGGAAATCACGTGGTAGGATCCAGTTTTCCCTCATTCATTTCCATATTGTTTTGGCTCTCACTAGCAAAAAAATAATAAAAGTATTGTTTTTCTATAAATATTTTTTTAGTTTGTTTTGATACACATATAATTTAATAGGGTAGTATTTTTTATTTTCAAATTTAGTGGATAACAATTGTAAAAAATGAGTGAAAACAATCCCACGGACAATGCGACGGATTTAAGGTTATGTCAAGGTACGTCTCTTGTGAATATCAATGGATTGTTAGGTTTTCTCTTCTGAAATTACATTATGACGCAATCACATACCTTATTAATACTAATACATTTTACAGGGCGAGATGATGAGGCAACCACAAGCACTTCCACTGGTTCAAGAGGTCCATAATATTACCGTGATTACAGAGCAAGGAAGCGAGCGCAGCAGGAAAAAGAGTCGTTGAATAGAACTAGTGATCCTTCTACGACTGCTGATTCTTCTACTATTAAAGTCGCAGGTTGCGAAGAACTTCTTCCGCTCGGAGGGACTCCACACACTATTTTTTTTTTTACCGCTACTACCAAAATTATCATAATTGGGTATAATATGAAAAAAACACAACTACTTCCACTCCGAAAATTTTACTAGGAATAATATTTACCTTTTAGCTTAATTAATAAGCTGAGTTTTAAATATGTTTACAAAATTCATAAACTTAGATAAAATAACAAAATAAATTATTTCAAAGGGAACTAGACTAATACATTTCCAACCTGACGAGTAGCGACTTATAACAACACACTTCGTTTAATGTTTACTTGTTGCTAGAAATCAGGTTCACAGAAAATTCTGTTTACTAGTTAAAATTTAGTAGGAATAACACGACCTGTGACGTAGGCTATAGTATACCCAATTGACGTTAATATTATCATGGCGATTTTTGACGACTCTCCTGAACAAATAAGTATTTTTTCACCATTAAGTTAGTACAAAGTTAATTTATTTTATTTCCCTTATTACCTATACACAAATTGAGTAGGTGTCATTGTCAATGAAATGGATTGGCGATTTTGTACGCTTCTATAAAATAATTTCATTTCATTTCTACAATAATATTGATTTTTTATACATAACTTATTGTTTTATAATTCAATTTCAATTTCTTTTAAGTTATTTAATTTGATAGAAATACGTTTTAAAAGCATATCTATAAACAAAATAAGTCCGTGGTTTTAGATCACTTTAGTAATGCTATTCTAGTGACGTTTTTCGTATATGCTATCATGTTCAAACTGATCAAATAGAGCAGTAATCTAACACACATCTTTAAAATATATGAGAAAATAGAATCATATATGATTTAATTTTAAACAATAACTAACACTTAACCAATGAGAAAATTCCATTTTTTATTTCTCTCAAACGATCAAATTAAAATTTTTGAAATATTCTTTGATCGAGAACTGAAATTACCCCATGATACCACTGTTTCAATTTGAAGATCATAGAACCTTTATTAAAAGAGAAACAAGGCACCTTTAAAATTTTTATGTTGTACAGCTTAATTTTGAAAATTAACTAAACTATAAGATTTTTTATTTTTCTTATTCGATTAAAAATACGATGAATTTCAAAAAATTTTATATCGTAATAAAGAAATAAAAAAAAATCAGAATCATGAGTTGCTTTTCAGGAAGACCGAAATTCGTAAAATATTTGCACAATAGAGACCTAAAATTTAAACTGGTTTTTACTCTAAACAAACTTATCTAAGCCTTAGAGAGAAAATATATATCTACTCATAAAACCAACTATACTTTTTATTGCTCACACCTTTTTTGTTTCCCTTTCAAACTCATTGTCACTCTCGAGAGAAGAAGAAAAAACGGCCTGTAAACCATGACATCGCATAAGAGTTCTGGTTTCTGAAAGAACTCAACAAACAACTAAAATTGCTCAACTTTAGAAAAGTATCTTAAGCGACATTTTATGACGCGAAAACGGTTATCGCAGCCATTATAAGAGAGCATTCGCTACTGCCAGTAGAGAAGAGTTTTCACGACTTTTATGGGTCAGCACTGAGGTCTTATCGTTCTATGTTAAACCCTGAAATGAGATGAAAGATTCTCGATTTCTTGTCTTGAAGTGTCCGGGAAAGGAAGTAGTTCTATTTTGTGGCGTACGTATAATCTGAGTTAATTCTCCGGGTTTTAGCGTTGGTGAAGCTTGGAAGCCATCGCATTAAAAGATGACGGCCTGAATCTGAGAAAAAAGAAAATCCTTATCTATGGGATCGTTAGGAATTTATTTAAGTTGGGATAGTTGGAAAACTTGGTGTTTTCACTGCTTTGTTTCTTTTAATACATCAAGACATTGAGGATATTATTTTTGGATGAAATAAAATTAGTTTTTGCATGGACATAAGAAATGGTTTCATTAATAATTAGCTTACATATCCAAGTTAATAGTACTTATATTATATCCGTATCAAATCTGACGAGGAATCGAAAATTAGTTTGCATTCAGCCTTATTTACATAACGAGGTACCCCTGTATATATTCACTTCATCATTATATCAACGTTTTTTAAATTGGCGGAACAAACGAAAATAGAATTTTTTAAAAAGAAAGGTTGGTGTAGCTTTGAGCTTAAATTTCTATAGGTAAACATTAATAATCTGTGTGGAACCATTTATTTATCTGTCCAAATGACTAGTCTGGAGTTCTTCGGTGTCCTGCAGTTTGTAAATGTGTAGAAAATGAATGGGTTATATAAAATTTTTTTAATTTTTTATTGAGTCGGGGTGTTTACTAAAAACAATAAATTAGGCACCTCTTTGTGCTGCAGAACGACTTGAGGCAACATTGGTTTGGCATAGAAATTAGTCTCACGAATAATTAAGATTTAAATTCAATAAATCCAAATTCGACCGAGCTAAGAAGTGCAGGAGCAAGTTTACGGATAATACAAATAGTTTGACAAAACCTGTAAGAATAATTTATGAAATAGTTGATAGAATTCAAAAGTAATATTTTTGTGAACAGCCTGGTTGAACTAGAAATTCTTTAAGTATTGCATCTATATTGACATAGATGCTCGTGTTCATATTTGTGTCCTTAGATTAGAGGACATACCTCTGCTTTGAAACTGAGAGTTGATGATCACATTGCATTAAATACAATTTAACATGTTCAAACCACATCACTCTATAATAGAGCAATGGATTTGAAGAAGATAAAATAAAAATGGAATAGTCCAAGCTAACAATGGTTTTCTCTTTGCCGAATTTGTATCATACATAGAGGAAACTCAAATTGACTCTGAAATCACACCTATATTTTAAAGTTCCTAATCAATACAATCTTTGTATGTAAAAATGATTAAGCAATAAGAGATGATCTATACGTATAACGAAACAAAATTTTCTTTAAAAAAATTATAGATAAATAAATAAAAACAGACTGAGTGATTCGATTTTTTACAATTTTCAGCAGCAATTTTCAGGAATAAGCAAATTATTACTGTTATTGGTAGCAATATTTTTACGACAATATAATCAAGATGTTTTACGAAGAAGCTGGCACTCGAATCCTTCATCATTTTTGTGAAATTGTAGCAAGGATATGCCAAAATCCAAGTACGTGCCATGGACTCAGTTTTTCATGTAACAGTTTTTCTTACTTTATTGGCACAATTTTTAAGACATTATAAACCGTGGTTTGCTTTTGCAATTGAAAAGAATTAAATGATAATCTCAGCAGCATGATTGGCAAATTCTTTGAGATGTGATCGTTGCACTTCCGTGCAATCGGAAAAACAACGTAAGCTGCAGATTTCAAGTTAACTAGTGGCTTGGC